TTGCGGCAAATAAGAAAAATATCAAAGAACAAGTAATTCAAAATTCTGCTAAAATTATCTAATAACAATCAACTGTTAGACGAAGCAAATATTTATCGCTTAACTGTTACGTATGTATGTATGTATGTATGCATATGACGCCGTTTGAGTTAAGCTTACGACGCGCAATTAAATTGATTACACAGCTTAAAGTATAATAAATAGCAGTACAATGAAACGATGGAAAATATAGAAATGTATTTCCCAAAAACAAAAACAAAAAATTCTTTACAAAAAATTCAGTAAAAAAAAAATAAGGAAAACAAAATAAGCGAAAAAATATTTTATGGAAATAAATAAAATAATTTAATTATTTATTTAATGGCAAATTAACAACACTTGTTTAATTATTGGCGGTGAAAAATATACATAGATTAATTCATTATATAATCAAAAGCAGACAACAGACAAAGTGGTGAGAAAGGCAATGAGCAAAACAAACTAAAAACAATTAAATTGCGTTAAGAGGAAAAAAAACAACAAGCACGGAGCACATTAAACAATGCTCAGCCAAAGAACAATGCGAAAAGTAAATGGAAATTCACCAAACGCAGTTGAGTGAACTGATCAGACTCGACAAATAAATATATATGTATATATTTGTATGAATGTATATGGAACGACCATGAACATTTATTGACTACTGACTTACTCAACATTGGTTAATGTGCTTAAAACGAATGTGCTAAAGACGAAACCAACACTGACGGTTTGATACAACAATAGCAGGGCTTAGCACATTTAGGGAGTGATCAACGCGTTATGTGACCCAATGCTGCCAGCACTGAAGTGGGCTACATGCGTACAACCTACAAGGCAATTGACCGGCTGGTCGTAAACTACACGTATGGTGTACCCTTTTTGGCGCCGCGGACTAGCGAGACGCAGGCGAAGATAGAAGCTTGTCAAAACACCGCCATCAGAACCGTAGCAGGAACCACTACCTTTTGCAGGCGAAGAACTCGAGCTGCCTGGAGAGTCCACGAAATACTGGCGTAAGTAAGATCAGGATATTGTTATAGATTAAACTTCTACTTATTCAGGCTCGATCCCGACATACCTAGTCCTGCATGCACAAGTCCGCGTAGGACACTAGCCATCCCTTTGAAGTAGACACTTCTTCGGCTACACTTTCGCCTAAACAAAACAAGTTTTTTATGTCTTTTAAGTTTGTCACAGGTCAAAATACAGCCTTGTACTTTTGAAACCGCAAAATGGATTACCCTACACATGTAGACATAAAAAAAAAGCAAACGCAAATATGTCTAAACCAAAACAAACAAAACTTGTGAACAAACACAAAAATTACAAAAATTATTTTAAAAAATTTACAAAAACAAAAATAACACAAACAATCGATTAACTAACAAAACGCGCAACGAATTTAAGCAATTTTAGCCCTGAACTTGGCTCGAGCCGCAAGAAGAAAATCCAACGAAGCAAACAAATAATGGGCATTAGCTACAGTTATGATGATTAGCGACGAAGAGAAAGAAAGACAAAATACAAAAGATGCACAAAAAAGCTATAATTTACATAAAAAAATATGCAACACCAATAAAAACTCGACGAAAAACAACAACCAAGCTAGCAAAGCAACAAACCAAAACAAATCGTAAAAAATATAATTACAGATATACACACATACATATGTATTTACGTACGTGTGCGAGCAAGTGAATAGCGAAAAAATGCAAACAGTTAAATTCCAAAAAAAAAAAAAAGCACAAAACAAAAAACAAAGCGCTGCAAACAACAACAATGACAAAGCAAACAAATCTCAATACTTCACTTTATTAACTACTCGAGCTACAACAACACTTTGAAGAGCTCACGAGTGGCAAACAGATAAAATGCATTGTAAACAACAACAAACAAACAGCAAAATATTAATGGCTGTGGAGGGGAGAAGCAAAACAAAAAAATGTGAGAAATGTGTAACAAAAAACCACCAAAAAGCCATCAACAACAACAACAGCAACAACAACAACAACATCAACAGCCGACCAGCGAAAACAAATAGCAACAGCTGTGTGTGTATGTGTGTGTGTGTGTTGAATTCTAGTAAAATGTAGTTTTAAGCAAAACGTTGACGACACTCTGGCCAACAACCGGCATTCTCAGCCATAATTTTTTATTTATTTCATTTTATTTTGCTTTGCTTTAATTTTTATTATTATTATTTTTTGTTGTTGCTAGTTTACTTTACTTTACTTTGCTTTGCTTTGCTTTCCTTTGTTTGTTCAAGCAACAGCTGCTGGTCACATGCAACAGGTATACACACATACATACAAACATACATATATGTAGATAGAGTCGGAATACATCGAATTTATAAGGGTTTGCGCTGTAACCAAGTGCCTTAGACAGTCGGTGTGAATGCTGAAGACCGGTGCTTATCAGCTTATACTCGTATGTTTTGTTTCACTTAGCACTCGATGAGTGCAGGCTTACGAGTTTACGAGCTTGTGGGAGTGTATATGCCAGTTGCCGTGTGGTGAATTTTTGTGTGTGTTTGTGTGATGTTTAGGTTTTGCAGTTCATAATAAATTCAAAATTAGACTACTACCAAGGTAAATACTTAGGAATTTTAAATCAGAGACTACTTCAATGGGGGGGGGGGGATTAAAATCTGAGCATACTTCAAAAGGGAGGATACGGAGCTCCATGGAACTCTTCTTTAAAGAAAATGAAAAAATATCCTATCAAAGGCGTTGAAATAGTCGAAAATCACTTTGTCATATGAAGAAAAAGTTGTATAGTTCCCATACTGTGGCAGCGAAAGAGAACCTTACTTTTTTTAAGTGACGACTCTGGTATTACTGTGACTTCCGATATGAAGAAATGAATAAGAAAGAACCGATACAGAATCACAATTCGGTCTTACCATTTTCAGATAATGCATACATTCCATATTCCATACTGCTTCTAATGGGTGATCCAAGTAGAGATACTTTTTTCAATAGCATTTTTTTGACAGATGTCAAGCTGTCTTGTTGCTTTGTTTAGCTTTTCATCATGGAAAGGCGTACGCCTGAATAACGTTTACAAATCGATAACACCGTCACCCATCTTGGGACCCAGCAACCATTATTGGTTAACTTTCGACCGAATCGAGCGCGGCCAACACGCAGTGAAGAAGAACACCGTGGAGAGTCGATTCAGCGCCGTTCGCAGCAACTCCGACTGACGTATGGAACGATTTGGCGCTTTTTACATCAAAAACCGTAGCAAGGACCTTTGGGCGTAAGAAAAGCAAGATTTTCTTAAACTTCGCAAAAAACGTGGACGACAACTACTTCGGCTTGAATTAAACTGTACTGGCACTACCAGGGTCTAACAGGTCTACGTAAATTCTAGTCAGTATTAAAAATGAAAAAATTTAGTATTTTAATCATGATCTTCTTTTATAGTTTTGAGATTAAATTTCTGTATTTTTATTTCATTATTAATTTCACATCAATTAAAACATTTCTGGTGTAAAAAAATAAATTAAAACCAAAATTAACTTCAAGTATTTGGGGATAATGTCAAGTAATTTTTCCGTCATCTCGAAATGATTTTTAATATGCTACGTGGATGGTTTAAAAATATTTAAAGATAAGTAATATATATGACTAAAATATCACATATGGGCAAGTTGGCAAATAAGCTCCCAGAAGTAGTAGTAAAAGTAAAAAAAGTTCAAATATGTATTTAAAATTCACATTAAAATGAGAAATTAAAAAAAATTAAAAAAAATGGAGAAAGAAAAATCTTATTATTGGTTTGAAATTATCTTTAAATCATTTGATTTGCATTAATGCAAATGGGGAGCACTTTTCCTTTGATCATTGAGCCTGGAATCGATTTGATGATTTGTCTTTGCTATATATGTGGAACATATTTTATATAATATACAAAGGTATATAAGTTATAATAAATTTAATAATATAATAAACCGTATAAATCTTATTAGAACCAACTTAAAACTCCAAGTGACCGGCAAATTCTAGTTATTAAATATCTGGTGACTGTCTACACTAAAATTGTAGGCAATGTTTTTCCTTTTTCCCAAAAACCTTCAAACATGTGGATAAAGTAAATAAAATAAAACAGCGTTTTGTAAGAAATTAAACTGGAAGATTTAACTGTTTTCGATTAATCAAATAATACGAAGAAATAATAAATATCCGCAAACTGTCTTAAAAAGCTTGGTAAAAAGCTACCTTGGAAAAATTGCAATGCACAGTTTTTACAATACATTAGCTGGAAGATAGCTTCTGAATTTCAAATTATTAAACTCTATTAAACTCTTTTTTAAAGCCTAAAAAAATATAATTCAAAAATTTGTATTTTATAAAGCCATTTCCAAGACTTTCCAACGAACTCTGGTATAAAATATCACCAAATTGTATATTTACGTTTTTGTATAGATTTTATTCACAACAATCAAATAATTGTATGGTTGTCAAAACTTTCTTTAGCAAAACTAATTAATTAATAGTTTAGTTTATTTTTTTTATATATTCAGTAGGCATATTTCTCTTCGAATCACATTAGTGCTAATTATGCACTACACTAAATGTCATAAATAACTCATACAAGACATACATGCATTGTTTATTATTTATCATAATAAATAAAATTGTTTTTGCAATCAAATTTTGCAAAATATTTTTCCCGCCATTTTGCTTTTGCCATGGGCTGTTGTTTACAAACAAATAACCCCTCGCATACCAGCTTCACATACTTCCATGACAATTGTTTATGATTTGATGCTGTTTTTACACTATCTTGAGTTTTTTTTTCTAAAAATAAAACTCAATACATATTCCTCGTTTAAATCTCTTTTAACTGTCGCATTGTATAGAAATAACAATTTTTTATATGTAAATAACGCAACTCTTATGCATGTCAATAATAGCAATAAATTAATAAGTAACGTTATTGTTATATGTTTTCGATTTTCTCTCACTCACCTTCCAGCCGGCGCTGCTATTCGAATCGCCTTTATCCTTAAAATATGGCACATTCTGCACCATCCACTCGTAGATTTGACTTAGCGTTAAGCGTTTGTCGGTCGCCGAGCCGATGGCATGCGTTATCAAATCGGCATACGACAAATTGCCCCACGCATTACGACGCGATGAGTTCTTTTTCGCTGTATTTATATTTTGTACGGTCTGCTGGGAATCTGGAAATAAACCAGGATGTTTTTCATTACAGTTTTTGAAATTTTTATTACAAAAAAAAAAAAGAGTTGAAGCACGAAAATATGTTTACAGGCAAGTATCCGACAACAAGAAACGCTCATTTAAGTAGAGTTGACAACAAAAATATTGAACTAAGCGCATTGCCTGAATTTTCTTCACAGCACAGCTACTCAGTACATATGTACGTACTCTTAGCTTACTAAATGAAATTAATTTCCATCTCTCGTTTTTAATTTTTAATTTTTATTTTTTTTTTTGCACGCTTACTTACCTCCTCCCGCTAGCTGTTGATTACTCGCCTTTGTACTATCCAAATCATCTGATGGCTCTACGAAATTCTCTGGCCTCGGGCATGGCCAGGTATTCGATCTGGCACGAGTCTGTGGTTCAAAACCACCATCGGCCTGCAGTTCGCCGACTAGATCCATATGTAGCGGCAAATCTGTGGGCGGTGGCGTGGGCCAGTCGTGTACGAAGCCCTCCATAATGGTAAAAGGATCGTTTATGAGGTGCAGTTTTGCGGTATTTTTATGACTCGTGGGATAGGAAATGCTTAATGTTATTTTTGTGTTGATCTTGAGTGGATTTTTTATGAGCGATTTTTGTTTTAATTAGCGCGATAAAAATACTGAAAAGAGACAAAAAAAATTATTTATTAATAATTTTTCATTTTAGTAAAAATAATGATAATTGATCATAAGCGAAAATACTTTTATAATATATATTTATATATATATATTTTTTGTTAACGATGCACAGACGCATTCATAATTTATTGACTGAAAATTAATATTAATTAATACAACACGTTTCAACTAATTCAAGTGCTTATTTCGCTGTCAAATAGCAAGACGTAAAGTACGTACATAAATATATTATCCTATATGTATTGTATATGGCAGCGATTAAATGGCATATACAATTACACTTTTATATATATACTGAGAAATAATGTCATGGAAAAATTCACGATTTAGCTGATAAATGAAATGCAAATTTCAAAATTGGTAAATATTTATACGAGCACTACTTGTTTGAGCTATAAATAAGTCATACAAACTTACTTAAATATTTATATATTTACCAGTGGTATCATTTGATCGCGAACATATACTAATTTTACGTTCAATTAGTTTCAGAACTAAATAATATTGTGGGCTTAAAAATTACTATATTTAAGCTAAGAATTTAATATTCTTATAAGAGGGACTAAAAATTTTGCTTTTCATTTTATAGGTTTTAAAGTTTCTTACATTTTTTTTAAATGTAACAATATTTCCGTTAAGTTCAATAAACTGCGAAAAAGATACTTTTCCATTTTCAGACATTTAAACTTACGTCATTACAACGTCTCGCTTCCTTTGGCGGTACAAGACATGTTAAAAATACTATTGTATATGCGAATGCTGTCAGTCGTCTCTTTGTCTGGTAGCAGCATTGACAAGCAATCATCAAAAATGATTATTTCAGGTCAATATTATTTGTACTCATTATCTATCATTATTTATTATCGCTTACTCCAAGTTGAAACAAGCGAATGTTACCAGGCTGATGAACTGTGAATTTATTTGTAATTTTTATTTCTTTGTTTTCATTCTTATTCAGTGAAAAGTTTTTTCTTAAAAAAACTCAAAATTAACGGCATATTCAAAATATAATTTTTGGAAAAATAAATAACGCTAATAGTATAAATTTTCAAAATAATTAGTGTGCGTCAAAACTAAACTTCAATTTGTTGCGCCTGATTGTAGGCAACGATTTGCTCTTTTACTCAACACTTTCGGAGCTCTCTTATATATTAGTAACTATCACCACATATATTATAGAAACTTTTGGCGGGCAAGTTTTTGAGAGACTTTCCGTTTAACGTTCAATTTATAACGTATTAACCAAAAAAAATGTTATCCCTCACTTGCAGTTTTATACTAACAGTAAATATATACCGCTTTTTCCTTTTTTGTTGCTTTGTATTTGATAGTGGAAAAATATTTTATACATTGGTAGAACGATAAGATAACTAATCTGCGTTTACTGCCATACTATACAAAAGAAAAATGTTTTTAAGTAAATTATATTTATGGAGTTAATTACCTAAGTTATCAAACGTAAAGGGCAGACAATGCGGCTCTGAGGTAAGAGAGAGAATATTATTCACTTAAAATATAATGATAAAATAAAATGAAACAAATTGAAATAAAATAAAATAAAATAAAATAAAATAAAATAAAATAAAATAAAATAAAATAAAATAAAATAAAGTAAAATAAAATAAAATAAAATAAAATAACATAAAATAAATTAAATTAAATAAAATGAAATAAAAATAAAAGTAGTAAAACTGAAATAAAAGCAAAATAAAACAAAATTAAATTAAATAAAATAAAAAAAATTAAATTATATCGAATAAAATAAATTTATTTTAAATTAAATGAAATATATTTAAACAATAAAATTAAAAAATAGTATAATAAAATGAAATCAAATAAAAATTAAAGTAAGAAAAGTAAAATAAGATTAAATTATATTAAATCAAACAAAAAAAATTAAAATTAAATAAAACTTATTAAAACAAAAGAAAAAAGCATCAAATGCATTAAAATTAAAACAATTAAATTAAACTATCTAAAATTATAACATAAATAGGAAAATGAAGTAAAATAAAATAAATTTAAAAAAATTAATTGGAACAAATGGAAAATAAAAATGAAGTAAATTGATAAAATAATGGTAAAAGGAACATGGAGACCATAGAGCACATAATATGTGAGTATCCCTCTCTCGGCAGACATAGGCTAATTATACTTGATCAGAATAAATTGATTGATCTTCAAACAGCAAGTGCCAAAAGACCTACTGCGATTTGCTTAGGGATCAGCAATGTTTTTCGAACTTCAGGAAGCATGGCGGTATAGGGTTTTGATCGTATGCTATGTTTCTAGTAACAAAAGTAGGACTGCTTAAGGGGCCAACCAGTTTAACCGAACCAAACATAACCTTACCTAACACGATCTTATCAATTTGTAATAATAAGAATACCCAACCTGTCTTAACATTTTTTTCATTAACCTAATTTAATATATAAAATTATTTTCAGAAGGAAAACTTTAATAACTTATGGCAGTTCAAAACAAATATAAACATGTTTTAATTGAAATAGATTAATAAAATGGAAAATATGACAGTTGTCACGAGTTTAGGAAATCTTTAAAAATTACATATATAAAAATATACGTACATGTTGTGTACGTAGGTAAAATACTCTGTTGTCAAGTTGCTTATCAGTTAATAAATTAATGAGAGTATCTAAACATTTACTAGGCGGCTGACGCGTAATGGTTAGTGCACACGTTGCAAAATATTACTTAATTTGGGGGTTTTGGCAAAAATTAATTAAAATTGTACCAGTACATGCAACGCCTAAATGTAGGCTGCAATTATTTTTGATTTCAATTTTCAAAACATTATTGGCTATTGACTATTGACATTTACACATGTGTGTTTCGGACTCTTTATTTTTCATTTTGTAAATATATAAAATATGTACAAAAAATATATACACCATATATTTTTTAAATCGATTACCTGCGGCCAAATGTAGTATTAATGATTCACAAAAAAAATTTGTACATGACTTGTACATTGTTTGGGTAACGTGACTTATATGTGCATTTACTTTATAATGAATTAGAAGCGCCAAATATCTGACATCGACGATATGCGCTAAAAAAAATTCAAGTGATTTTTTGAATTCAAAAATGTACAAAAAACACAAAAATTTAATATAAACAGAAAAGTCAGAAAAATTGTACAAACAAAATTTGTCCACTGTCATTTGATTAGTAAATTTCATCGGCATTCCATTCCAAAGCAAAAAGTATGGAAATAATGCTATTTTATAAATTTGAAAATATGCGCGGAGTTAAATAGAAGTTGATGACATTATATATATGTCATTTATATAATAATGCTGCACCTTTGACACTTTTAACTTTGACAGATTTTGTCTGGCAGCTGTCAGAACCGGTATTTAACAGTGTTTAGTATTATAATTTCGTTTAAGAAATGCTTACATAATGACAAAATGCGTCACAATATTTAATTTAAAATAATTCTATCAAAATGCATTGTTTAATAAAAAGAATAAAAACATTTTTTGTTAATTAAACAATAGCGCTTAGATAAAAGCAAAAATTTAACTCAATTAAAGATTCTATTAATTGCTGTTTGCGAATATTATTTCAATTAATTTTTATAAACTACATTTTAAATTCAATTTTAATTTTAATTTTAATTTTAATTTCATATTTAATTTTAATTTAAATTTTAATTTTAATTTTAATTTTAATTTTAATTTTAATTTTAATTTTAATTTTAATTTTATTTTAATTTTAATTTTAATTTTAATTTTAATTTTAATTTTAATTTTAATTTTAATTTTAATTTTAATTTTAATTTTAATTTTAATTTTAATTTTATTTTTAATTTTAATTTTAATTTTAATTTTAATTTTAATTTTAATTTCAATTTTAATTTTAGTTTTAGCTTTAATTTTAATTCTACGATTAATTTTAATTTTAAGCTTGTTTTCTTAGTTTATATCTTTCTAACAAAACTTGCATACCAAATACCTTCTGCGTATTCCACAACACGAAGTTGCCACATACGAGTGCACTACCCTGACCTAACCCACTATGAATTTGCATAAACTTTAATGCGCCAAAAATAGGCGCATACATACATACATACATATAGTATGTCTCTGTATATTTAGAATTTAGTAAACCGACCAAATTATGCTCTCTCGCGTCACTGCACTGCTGAAACAGCCCAACCAGTCTTTTATCAGTTAATATTTTTTCCACTAAGTAAGGCAATAAAAAATAATTTAATTGTAATTAAGCTATTATATTTACTATTATATATTTACAATTATATTTTGAGTATATTGATATTTTCCACTTAAATATAGTAATGCTAACATTAAATATTTGCATGTAACAATAAGCATATATGCATACATATATTGTATGTACACAAATAATTAACAGCATTAAAATCTATTTTTAACTTTAAAATAAAAAAATAAAAAAATGTTAATGGTTGACAAGAATGTATTTTTATTTTTACTACAAATATCATTCACTCCACTCAGACAACTCAAGGTTATTTGTAAATCTATTAAACGGAACACGTAATTGAGCTAATCCAACTATGATCTGGCTATGACGCACTAGAATTATTTATTTACTAAAAAAAACCAAAAAAAAAATCCACTACATAATGCTTATACTCATTCATGGAAATTCTGCCGAAGATTGCTTTTTAACATGAATACATGAAAATAGAACTCATATAAATAAATACATAAAAACATAAATTAGCCCAACTATATGACCACACTCGTATATATGAAAGTTTGTTAAAAAAATATACATAAATTTTATGCGAACACTTTTCATATTACTAAGCACAGAAGAGCCAATTATGCGGACCTCTACTGCCTCTTGTATTCATTTTTGTACTGCGAACTCAAGTCAAAAGTCCCAAAATATATGCTTAACCACACTAACCCTACAACAATTTCAGATCATACGATCCATTAGAGTACCCATAAATATACTCCTCTGT